TTTCTTTCTTAATTTGAATATAACTTTTCCTCCCTCCCTCCCTCTACCAGCATGTGCAGAACAAGCTAGCCAAGTTTAATAGACACATCCTAAAACTTGGATAACTTTCTTCTTTAAAAATTCACAATTTGGTTTTTTTTAAACCGTTTTTTTTTTTTTATCACCACCACTTTTAAAAAAGAAGTTCCTTCCCTGTGTGGCCGTCTCCCCGCACCCGACCCAGAGACACATCGAAATATGCCTGCCACGATTGTGTCGTATTTGGGGTGATGCCACCAGCTCGGACGTGGGTGGGCAGTGGGAGAGCCAAAGATGTCCTCTGCAGTTTTACTGGAGAAAGTCACTGGGGCGGGGGGGCGGTGGAAGGGAGAAGGAGAGTGGGGGGGCGTATCTCTTCTGAAGAGGTAGTAGCATAACTGGACACCAGTGTTCCCTCTAAGCTGAGTTAGTGTGAGCCAGCTCACAGTTTTTTTAGCCTCCGGCTCACAGATTTTTGTCTTAGCTCAGGAAGGAGGGCTCCGGAGCAAACTGATTTATGCAGTAGCCAAATGGCTCGCTCACAACTTTAATGCCAGTAGCGCACGAAGTAGAATTTTTGCTCACAAGACTCCACAGCTTAGAGGGAGCATTGCTGGACACCTAATTGCCAAGTCCGTGAATCAGGCTGGCTTGTGGCTTGGCCCGCTAGGCCTCTGCCCTCCACGTCTGGATTTGCATATTTCCTTTCCACTCCCTGACGCCGTTAGGAAGCAACCTTGGGCCAAGCCCTCCAAAGCAACCCCCCCTGTCCCCCTCCCCCCAGAAATCAAATCTCTAAATGTCTTTCTTCTAAGCCTCCTCTGGCTCCCCCCCCCCGGAATCCCCGGTACTGCTTTATTTATTTTCCACTGAAACCTCCGTCCAAAGCATTGCCTAGCTGAAGATTTCACGCGAGCCGTTCTTGCCGTTTTCCCCTCCTCTATACCCTGTCTGTCTGTATGTCTGTCTCTCTCTCGCACACTCACACTCTCTCTCTCTCTCTCCCCCTCTCCCTCTCTCTCTCTCGCCTTCTGCTGTAAAGCCAGGGGCCATTGTTAACCGCGCACAGGGCGTACGAAGACTCTAGGGCAGCCAGAATCAAAAGGATTCCCTCCCTATACATCTCTGGAAGGCTGTCTAGCATCTTGCGATTTCTACCTCTTCTCACCTTCCCCCCACTCCTCCCCAAACGGAGGGAGAGAAGGAGGGAGAGAGAGAGAGAGAGAGAGGGAGGACCTGAGCATCCCTCGCCGTAAGCTCCCATAGAGATGTCCCCCCCTCCTTTTGGCGTTATGACCGGATTTCTCTCTCTAGATATTCCTTGAACGTTTTTTTCCCCCCTAAAAAAAATCCGAGAGGAATGGGGGGAGCTCTCCTCGCTTATTGATTGCGTTGCTTGCTGGCTGCGAAAATATATTATGTCTGCTCGCCGCGCTGCTCTCGTCAGAGGCTAAGGTAAGGTGGACCGAAATAGGCTATCAGTTTGTGAATGGCGGAGACCGTGTCTCCATGATTTATAGCTGTATGACTCGCATCGCGGTTCATGAAGAGTTCACAAGCTTTAAGCTTCCTTCCACGCAGCGACTCTCTCTCTCTCTCTCCCTCTCTCCCCCTCTCCCCTTCCCCCTCCTTTCCTTCCCTCCCCATTCTTCTACCCCCTTTTCTCTCTTTTTAGCTATTGGTACCCCTCTATTTTCCTCCCCTTTCCATTTTCCACCTAAATCCTTTCTTTCTTTCTTTCTTTCTTTCTTTCTTTCTTTCTTTCTTTCTTTCTTTCTTTCTTTCTGGCTTTTATTTTAAGGAAAATGCTTTCAATGTTGCAACAATTTCCTTTCGATTGGGATATGTTTTTGAATCCTTCTCCTCAAGACAAATATTATTATTATTGCTATTATTATTACTATTATTATCATCATCTCTGGGAGAACATGCCTTCAGGGAACAGGATCTCGGATTTTTCCCCCATACCAGGAGAACTGATTGTGAATTTTAGAATTCTTTTTCCAACATGGAGGTGAAAGGGAAAGAATTTTCCTTTCCTTCCACCCTCTAGTTCGATCTTGTCCCAGGCTGTTTCACCGTCTTCTTCTTGACTCTTTGCTTCATTTTTTGTTCTCATTGACTTTCCTGTAGGAAGTTCCCAAGAAGGGAGACGATTTATTATTATTATTATTTTTCCACTGGACTTAAAGGAAACTTGCAAATGGGCGAGAAGGAACTTCTGGGGCCTGGATTCCAGGAACTAATCGCAAATGCCCCCCTAATTTCCTATTTATTATTCCTATTGAGATTTCGGTTGGGTTCTTTTTTTTTTTTAACAATTCCTTGGAGTAAATCATTTACGATTCCACCCGTCTTCGACTAAGATAAATGACCGACATTTGGGACGTGTTGAAAGATGAGATACAAAAGGGGGACTAAAATCTTGGCTACTGAAGGCACAGAACACTTTGAGTTTCCCTTTTTGAGAGGGATAAGCAAGGGATTATTTTACTGTACTGTTTAATTTTTTGCAATAATAGCAATAGCAATAATAATAATATACCCTAAGGCCTTCTAAAAAAAGTCCCAGGGAAAAATCCAAAACAAACCGGCTAGGCCGAGTAGAATCTCGATTACGGCTGAACTCCTTAGTCCATTTCACGGAGTCCAGTCTTTTTGTAATCAAACGAATAGTTATTTCTCTCTCTCTCTCTTTAAATATCAATTCATAGTGATGAGATCACTCGATTGTTTATGTCTACTAAGAAATATTCTCCAGAGCTGAAGAAAAAACAGCTACATTATAATTCTTTCCTGTAACACAGGGGGGGAAAATGTTAACAGCTTGCCTCCCCCCAAGAAATATAGTCTCTAATCCGCAAGATGCTGGAGGATCACAAGATGGTATTTTAGACTGGTTATATAAATTTCTCAATTTATAGTGGCATAAATTGAGGAGGGGGAGGGGCAAGTGGGTGGGTACCAGACCTGGGATATATTTTGGCTTTTGAACGTCGCAGATACATAGGCGGCAGGAAGGAGAGCGTGCAGTCCATCCCAAACGTTCGGATCAAACTAATGTTATGTTGCAACGCTGTGTTACAATTTAGTTCACTTGAAAGTGGCATTTTGAAGCTAAATCCAGAAAGGGTAGCTACGCATAGAGAAACACGACTCCTTCTGTACAGGCCTTATAGATGGAGACAATGTAGACGTCCGCATCTGTAAGCGCCCACAACAACGTATATGGATATACTGATTTATTTTTTTATGTCAGCCGATTAATTATCTCATCCATTAGATCGTTCTAATCTTATTCTGTCCTTCCAATATGGAGGATCTTCACGTTCTGCTAGAAAGGAACGAAGGGTCTTCTTTGGATCTGTGATCTGCCCGCGCCCCCCCCCCCCAGGAAAAGAATAGGGAAAAAATCAAGGGGACCAACTGGTCAGGTGACAGAACTCTCTCTGTGTGTTTGAAAACAGATGAGAAGAGAAAGGGCTTGTGTTTTATGCGACACATCAGATTCACACCTCGAGTGGCGACTGAGCCAAGGTCTATTCCCAAACTGCCGCCGAAAATTGCAGAAATAAGAACGAACGGGACTCAAAGGGGACATCAAAGAATTCAGTGCAGGCCTCCAAACCGGGCAGTGTTTCCAGCCATTACTCTCCTCCTTCTCCCCCCCCCCCCCCTTTTCTGGAAACAACAAACATAAAGTCTGCAGATTTACTCGGGAGCAAGTCCCGCTGTATTCCGTACGACCTACTTCCGAGTAAGCACGCACGGGAGGGACCCCGACCGTGCGCTGTAGGCAACATTTAAGACCTTGGATTCGATTTGGAAGGGGAGGGGGGCAGGTATCCGTTTGAAACCTGAGGTCAAGGACTACATCCGGATTCATTTTAAGATTCAGCGGATGTTAAATATCCAGTTACGCGCCCCCCCCCCCATCACTTTGTTTTGTTTCTCGGTGAGTCCCCCTCTCAGGCCAACCTAGGAGGACAAACGAAAACATGGTGACCAGAGGACGCGTGTCTAGTTTGGCGACGAGGAGTTCCAGTCAGGAGAACTTGTTAGAGAATTCGACCTCTCTCCCTCCAAAAACAAAAAATACAGTGTTTCAGTTCTGCAAAAGGATGGTTTACCTGGCATGCGTCTACCCACGTTTGCGTTTTGTTTAGGAGGAACTCCAGCCCCGCGGGTTTCAGAGGCAGGGTCCCTTCCACCTGGGTTCTAACCTAAATGGCCCCCCCCCGGCTCTTTTAATGAACGGCGATGGGACTGATATTAAATTGTATAGCCAAGCCTCCCTACCTTTCTTAGGGGCGTGGGGAAATAGGGTTGTCCTTGTTCTCGCAGGCGAGCCGGCGTTTAAGTACGCGGGGAGGTCTGGAACTGGACGCTCCCTAGGCAGACAAACCCTGCAGGGCTAACGCGAACGGCACCTAGGCTCCTACGGGATCTATATTTCTCTGGACTTGTCCATATATATCGATTATAACTCTATCAGAACGATATTGGTGGTGGTGGTGGGGTTTGGAGGAATAACAAGGGCGAGGCTATGGAGGGATTGATCTTGTTGACGAACCGAGGGCAGGGCCTTCGTCTTTACTGCCTTCCTTTTTGTAAACCAAAAATTGAAAGCGTTGGACGAGGCTCCTCCGGGGGAGAGAGAGGGAGAGAGAGCGCAAAGGCGCGCCCCAAAGCACCAGGCAAGAAATCTGGTCTGGGCGACAGCTGGGATCTGGTTTCTCATCCCCCCCCCCCCCTCCTCCGGAGCGCAGCTATTCATGTCAGGAGGCTTTTCAGAGGCCAAGATGGATTCATAGGCCGATGCGTATTATTCTGCGTGCCTTTCTCTAACCTTTCAGGTCAGCCTCCCCAAGACACCGGGGAAGGCCCTCTCGCCACGTGACCGCGGGGGTGCCAATGTCCGTCCATGAAGGGGCCACCAAGAGCCGTGTAGCCGCCAGCCAGCCGTCCGGGGAGTCCCAGCCATGCAGAAGGCCACCTATTACGACACCTCCACGCTCTTCGGGGGTTACTCCTACCAAGGCGCCAACGGCTTCGGCTACGAGGGTCCCCCGCAGCCGTTCCAGCCGGCCGCGGCCCACGTGGAGAGCGACTACCAGAGGCCGGCCTGCACCCTCCAGGCCCTCGGCAACGCCGCCCCCCTGGCCAAAACGAAAGACCTGAACGGGAGCTGCCTGCGCCCCAGCCTGGCCCCGGAGCACCACCCGGCCCCGCCCGTCTCGCCGCCCCCCAATCCCATCACCAGCACCACCGGCACCAGCGGCGGCACCGGGGGGCACGGCAATAACCCGAGCCAGCCCGGCGGGGTGAAAAGCGCCCCCAACAAATCCGGCCTGGCCTCTAGTAACGCGGCTCTCACCAAGCAGATTTTCCCTTGGATGAAAGAGTCGAGGCAAAACTCCAAGCAGAAAAACAGCTCCCCCAGTACAGGTATCTGCTTTTGGAATACTCACGCCAGATAAATACATCTCCCACCCACCCCACACCCCCAACTTGGCTAGACGGAGCACAGGAGGAGTCAGGTGTTCAGACCTTCTTGCTTGCTTGGAGGAAATGGGAAGGGTCTGGAAAGAACTGCTCCTCGGAACTATCCACCCACAAGGTCTCCTATGGAAGATCCATTGGCAGGGTGGCTCCATTTCTGTGGGGACTCTGTGGGAGATCCCTGGACAGGGCTATATTTATAACAACCAGCAATCAGAAATTGCAGGCTCCCTGCCTAAAGAGCTCCCCATACTGGCTAACTGGCACATGAGGAGCATTGACACCAAGTAAGGGCCATAGGGGAGGAGCCAGAAAGGGACACTGAGGGTAAGTGATGGCTCAGGAAGGAAAATTCTCTTCTAAAGAAGGTGGGATTTGAGGAGGCTCTGAAAGGATAGGTGGATAGTTGATGACAGATGGAGGGGAAAGGTACCAGTCAGCTCTGTGAGCGACAGGAAGAGTCTAGTACACTGGTTCCCAAAGTGGGCAATACCACTCCCTAAGGGGTGCTGGAACGATCCAGGTGGGCAGTAGGAGCCTTGAGTGCAAATTTGTCACTGCTTCTTTTTGTCCACTTTTTGAAGGCAGATTTCCAGGGGGGCACTGAGTACTCCCCCCCCCTTCTGAAAAGGGGGCGGTAGACCAAATAAGTTTGGGAACGTCTGGTCTAGGACATGTGTTTAGGAAGTGTGCAAGGGAGGAAGAGGGAAATAAAGGGACACAAGGAGTTCTTTTGTGTCTCCCCTCTTTTTGGTCCAGGTCTCAGAAAACCTGTTGGGCCTTCATTCTTTTAAAGGACACTACAAATTTGGGGGTGATAAATCAAACTATGGCTGAATTTTAAAGCCAGTACTTTATACTAGACTAAAGCGGGGCGAGGGACCTCCATACCAGCTTTGCCCCCAAGGGCATTGATTATTGGGCCAAGGTTTAAAGCACTCATTTTTGCCATGAGATAAAATTAGCTTGCAGAGTTGCCAGCTGGTGAACTCACACCTGGCTATAGACATCCAGCAGAATGAGGAAGAAGAATCTCCAGGCAATAGAAAGAGCTGTGTCTCCTCAGCTTGCTGGTGGGAAAATGAAGTTTTGTAACATGTCACTCTGGGTTGTTGTTTTTTTTTACTCCCTGGAAATTAATAATAATTAAAAAACACACACACTAGAAAAAGTTTCTGGTTCAACCTACTCACTTGGTTGCTAGTTTTCCACTTGCAGGGAGGATTGGTTTGTTTGTTTTTAATGTAGTAGAGCATTCAAATATGTGACTTCCCCAGCCATAGTCTGAATTTCAAAAGCCAGCATAGTGCAGTGGTTAGAATGTTGGACTAGTACCTGGGAGTCTCAGGTTCAAATTTCTTCTCTGGCTAGAACTCTGGTTCAACCTACTAACTTGGTTGCTAGTTTTCTACTTGCAGGGAGGATTGGGTTTTCTTTTTAATGTAGCAGAGAATTCAGAGATGTGACTTCCATTGTTGTAGTCTGAATGCTGAGAGCCAGCTTAGTACAGTAGTTAGAATGCTGGGCTAGTATCTGGAAGTCCCAGGTTCAAATTTCTTCTCTGGCTAGAACTTAGGGCCGGTCACTCACTCTCAACCTAACCTACACCACACACTTGCTTTGAAGGTAAAATGAAGGAGGGGGAAATCCTCAGCTACTTGGGCAAAGAGCTGGGATAAAAATGTACTCGTTAGGGTTGCTAAATACAGGCTCAATGGCATGTGGTGTACCAGTTAAAGTTATTTACCTCCATGTCTTAAAAAGCTTCACTGGCATGTATCTTAACAAGAGGCCTCTATTAAGGTGACAGGACCTTTTTCTCCAGGCCACCTAGCAACCCTAAAGGTGGCACAGTCCTTTGAACCACCTCATTCATACCTCATTCTACTGCATATGCAGACAGGAGGACCTCATTGATAACTAAGGTTGCTGACAGGACTGGAGAAGAAAAAGGATGTGTCCCTTTAATAGAAGTTTGATGTGTGGGAGTGGGTAGCTGAACCTTTTGGTGACACAGAGGTCAGGAATACTCTATTAAGCCTCAATTAAAGGGACAGGACACATTTTCTCCAGGCATATATAGCAGCCCTATTCATAGCTTTGGGACAGCGTCTTAAACCAGTCCAGACCTAACTGCCTCACCATGCACGAAAATCCCTTGCTTATTTCATCTGTTTCTTGACCAAATGTTTTTTTCTCTCAGAATTGTGCTACACTCTACTTACGTGCAGATGCATATGGGTGTTCACTAGTAGGCAGAAACCAGCTAATTTGTTGCATCATGTCCACCTGTTGTACCAGGCAAAGGGGCTTTATATCAAGCATGTCTGTCCTTACATTTATAAGATGGACATGTTTGGCGCCTATAAAGCAGGCATACTCAAGTCTATTCAGGGACAATTTACTCCAAGGGAAGCATTGTTAGAGTTGTCCTTATCAGAATGGCAGAATCACACAACATAGAAGGTTATGGAAACATTCCTAAACAGGCCTCCTCAGAAGTAACTCCTGTGATCCTTAGGATCAGCCTCTATATGGGACTAAAGCTGATTTTGGATACCCTTAGCACATTTATGCTAGAATCTGCAGCACTTGTAAAACTCATGAGTTTTCAGTGCAGAGGATTCAGCTTTCATTTGGGGAATAAGTTCCTTTTGGAGTCAAAAGGGTTTGTTGCCTTGTGACAGACCATCACTGCAACCAATTTCCTAGCAAAAGTGATTCTGCATCAGCCACTGTAGAGAAAGGCAAGTACCTATACTGGGCCATTTGGACATACTTTAAAAATATCATTGCAATTAAATATGCATATAATACACAGAACCAGATTACTGTCTGAATATAAGATTGCAGTTAATGAATACTGTTGAATCATAATTTGGGGCCTGTTTGTTTTGGGGGGGGGAAGCTGGATATTGAGAGCCATCCTAGCAGATCTCTTCTGAAGTAAGTCCCATGTTCTTCAATGGTGCTTACATTCAGGAAAATGCCCTTCAGATTGCAGCCTAGCTTGCATTTTGACTTACTTTTTATGCCAATGAAGGTTGACTGGACTGGACTGGACTTACTTGCCCCTCTGTGGAAAATTCCTAACTTCTTTTTATTCCTGTGTAAACTTGGTATGTATCGCTATACACCGTGGGAGAGAGTAGAGAAGAAATATGTTTAAGAGACAGGAGGAGATACTGATCAAGATGGGTAGCCACGTTAGTTGGTCTGTAGCAGTCGAAAGAGCAAGTAGCACCACAAGGACTAACACAATTTGTGGCAGGATATGAGCTTTTGTGAGTCACTGCTCACTTCTTCAGATACAGGGCTGTATCTAAAGAAGTAAGCAGTGACTCATGAAACCTCATATCCTGCTACAAATTTTGTTGGTCTTTATAGTGATATATAGGATACTCAGGCAGATACTGAGTAGTCTGAAACCACTTTGCCTAGTTCAAGATGCCCATGATAAACAGAATTATTCCAGACCTGTGGATCCGGTTACAGGCTGCAATTCCATGTCTGCCCACCTGGAAGTAAACCAGGTAACAGGACTCCCAAGCAAACACCCTGAGAATCACAGCCTGCAGTGAAAATAAAAGTAGGTCTTCTGTTAGAAGCATTATTAGAAATAACAGTGCCCTGGAAGTGATCCAGACATGCATGTGTGTCACTTGATAATCCATAATTTTATGGGAGCAGAGCTTAATCCATGATCGTGTTTCACACATTAAAAAATCCCCACTTAATACATGCAAATAACAACAATCACAACTTAACCACTTGATGCATGGCACTGGACATACATGCAAATAACAACAATCACAACTTACCTAAAGTGTTGCTGAATGATGTAAGCCCAAGTATATGTCATAAGCATCCCCTACATCAGCTGTCCAATTTAAATATGTGAACAGTTCCATCATATGTGTGTATGCATTAACTTACATGCATATGTACAGAGGTAGATTTATATCCTGCTTGTCTTCCATGGCATGTATGCGAGGGGACATATATCAAGTTCCCTGGCAATTGCCATTCCAGGCACTGGTATTTATGGATTTTTTTACATGCCCTTAGATCATATCAGTCTATAGTTTTGATCGGTGTGTATGTGTCTTGTGCCCCAGTTTCTCCAAGGTAAGGCAGGATTTACATGTGCAGAGGAATTTGGCGTCCTTCTGAGATGGACAAATGGATTAACCCATTGAAGACTTCAGGTCAGGGATCACTTTTTTTGAAATGCTCTCCTACATTTCCATGTACGTAAAGAACTAACAGGGCAGGGCTAAAACCTTTGTCCCTGACCTGGGAGGAGCTTTCTTCTTGCAGAAAGTCTCCCCCTGCCGTGGGAAGACATTAAAAGGGGTCTCATATACATTTGCAGTCTGAAGTGGTAGATCTCCTTCTTTGTGGCCCAAAGACTCAATTTCACATTCTGCTGGACATGTAAACTTATCCTAAACCCAACAGTTTCTAAATGAAATAAGCATTGGGTTGGATCCAGTTAGCTTTTTATCCCAGTCTAATCCAGTTCTACTTACTGCTGCCCCCTTTCCACATAGCTTTTGTCCATGAAGTTCCCACCATCACTAACACAGCTGTTTTTTGCAGTCAACAGGGACCCCTCTTCTCTGTTTTTCACCATCAGAAAAGTTGGTTGGATCCAACCCATTGCATCCTAAGGGTCAGATGTAGATAGTAATGAGGAAATGGCCCTCTGCATATGGTCAGAGGAATTTTACTATTCTTTTCACATCAGAAAGAGGTTCCAGGGGGTGAACTGCTGAGGTTCATATTACATCATACAGATCACTGAACTGACTTTTGATGGTATATACAGCTACAGTTCAATCCTAACCAGGGTTACATTCTTCTAGGACTATTGTCTTTAAAGGATGTAGGAGAGTGTAACTCTGTTTAGGACTGCACTGT